GAGGGAGGGAGGAGACGCGAGCATGCATGTGTGTAATGTCTATGGACCGATGGATGCGTACCGTTTCCCCCTTTGACCTACCATTGTCCCCATTGCCAACAGCTGGCTCCATCAGGACCAAATGCTGCCCCTTCTCTGACTGTCCTTGAAAATTCGCCGCTTCCACTTTTGCAGGACCTGGGCCCGAGGCGATGGGATAGAGAACCATGAAACAAAGCGAAACCCTGTGTTGGGATACAACCGATTCGCAGAACCTGCTCAAGGTACGCACAAAACTCACACGGAAAAGAGCGGCCTGCTGCAGCAACAAACCTTGGCCAGTCCTGACCAAAATAACTGTCAATGCTTCACCGAGACGACCGATCTAAGCCCACGGCAGGCGACGTGTCTTGCACGTTGGACCAGAGGCGGTACAGGTCGGCCTTAGGAAGAAGCAGGAAGTTCAGGGCACAAATCCAGCATTGGACATTGCGGCGTTGCGGTTTGAGAGTTGGAAAGTAGGTCGAGTTGAGACTTCGAAGCCAAATGTCGCACACGGGATGGTGTGAGGATGTTGATTAATGCTTTAAAGCAACGTGCCCGGAATCCTTCCGTCCTTGCCTCCCAGAACTCCGAAGCTTTCGGCTTTGTAGGGAACCCCGAAAAGGGCACGAAGACCCTGGCAAAGTGATTAGGGTTTAGGGGTCCTAGGGTTTANNGGTTTAGGGTTTAGGGCTTAGGAGCTGCTTTGGAACGTGACTGCTGTAGGCGTTCTACTGCTCGCACTTTAGACTCCCGGCGTTCCTTTTTCACTTCGCATGCCTCTGCTTCGGTGGAATTCGACTTCGACTGAGGCTGCCCACCGTCAACGCAGACTGGCTGTCATCGGTCTGGCTTGCTGGCAGCCCAAGCTCGTCCTGAATGTCGTGCTTCGATCTCACACACTTGCACACAGCAGGCATGGCTTCCGGGAACACGAAATTCAGGGGTGAGGCAGTTACATCTAGATATAGAGATATACATTACATATTATATACATATACATATATA